CCCCCCCCCCCCCCCCCCCCCCCCCCCCCCCCGCCCTCCTGAAAGCTACAAGTCTTTCCTGCCCAAGGATATGCGGACCTGTATCCAAGACTACAACATTGTGACCCGCAAGCGAATCCGGTACCGTTTCTGGAAGTTCATCCAGCAGTTCAGCCAGTGCAAAGCGACTGCACGTGACCTGAAGCTGAAATATCTGATGAACCTGGAGACGCTGCAGTCTACCCTCTACTCGGAGCACTTCGAGGTCCAGGAGCCCAACGTAGGCCCCGTCACCATCGTTGTCACCGGCAACAACGGCATCCAGTGGTCCTGTGAGAAACTCAAAAACTCTGGCTCTGACCAGGTACATCTCTTGTTCTCCATCTCTTGCCTCTCTGCAGTGGGTACCTTAACAGACTTGTTAGAATTTTCGGAAGACTAGGTCTAAAGCTACTTAAAAGCCTCTCTTCAAGCAGAGACATATCTCCTCAGTCCCAGCCATCCTGTCAGTCAGTGCTGTGTTTTTCACCAGCAGTATCAAGAGCTTCACAGTAAAATTAGAAAATTGGCTTGAAAAATTGCATAGCTTTTTCCAATCATTGTGCTTGGTCCAAGCTCTGTGGGTGTCCAAGTTCTGACCTGCAAAGTGAACATCGCAGATAAGCAAACGGTTATATGAGTCATTATCAGTGACTCTCTCTCCTAATCAAACTGAAGATGTCATTCATCATATGGTGAGTTTTTCAGACCAGTAGGTGTGAAGGTAAAAGAGCAATTTGCTTCATGTGAAGGAAGTTTTCTTCCAAAAAAGTGTCCAAGTAGTATAGGGGAGGTTATACCCAGATAGAGACTGAGAGATCACCGTGATCTCTGCCTGACAACCGACACCGTGTCTGTGGTCCTGGCTGTCACACCACTCTAGAATCCGCAAGGCCGAGGAATGTCCACAAACCTTCCAAAAACACTTTGGGAGGCTTATTTGAAAATGTAAGTCAGGTTGTGTGGATGGCCGCAGCTCATAACATGTGGATGCCATCAACTGCGAGACCAGAAGATAGAACCATTTACCTATAACATGTTGTCCACCATTGACTCTTTATGAACCACCTGACCAACAACTTAAAATGGACTGACTGAATAGATTTCAACGTCTCATATTTACTATATGGAATACCTGTTGATAAATGCAGTAACACAACAAAATGATTTTAACTGCTCTGTGAACTCCTGTAATGTTACAGTCTTGAAGGATACATCATACTCTTCTTCTGTGCTTGTATATTTGCATGACTTGTTTGGCCTGTACTCGCGCACCTATGTTGGTTTGCTTAGTCATAAAGCATAATGTTAGCTTGATGCTTGAGTATGATCTGACTACCTTGGATTGTACATGTATGCGAATGGGCTGAACACCAATGTTTCTTTTACGAAAGAATAGTTCCCCTTGTTTTCGTCAGGAGCTGCAGACGTATTGTGATTTCCCTGAAGTCATCGACATCAGCCTCAAGCAGGCGAATAAAGATGGTTCCAGCGAGAGTCGGATTGTCACCATCAACAAACAGGATGGCAAGACGTTGGTATGTCCCCCACCCTGCCCCCCTCCCATCCTTCAACCTTTTGTTTGCTTGGTTTTAAAAATACACTATGTTCTCATTTACCATCATTGCACAACTAAAGCTAGCTTCCTCAAAAGACTTGCACTATATCCATTTTTAACGTTAGATATTTTTATATCCGTGTTTTTGTGAGTTTTCCATTCAGCACAGATTAATATTGAATAAATGATAGAAGCTTTCTGGTGTTTTGTGTGGGAAAATACAAGACAATCGGCTTAATGAAAATATACATTTGAAATATCCTGCAGGAGCTGGAGTTCCATTCACTTGCAGAAGCTCTGTCTTTTGTGTCCTTGATTGATGGGTATTATCGACTCACCACAGACGCCCACCACTACCTCTGTAAAGAGGTGGCTCCCCCTAGCTTGTTGGAGGCCATTCACAGTCACTGTCATGGCCCAATGTTGTAAGTACTTCTTTGACTCCAGTTATAGACTAAAGTGTAAAGTTTTTTTAAATTATTATTATAAAAGACAATAACTACACTGAAACTGAGAAAAAGATACAGTTTTTGACTATTCACCCTGATGTCTTAGTAGGAAGGTAAATGATAGTAGTTTTTCCTTCAAAGCTGAACATACCTGAACTAAGATGTTTTGTCACAGCCGTATCTGTTTTAATAGAATATGCAGTCGTGGTGTTTTGCCTCTGGACGGCATTCTTAGCACCTCACAGACCTACATTCAAGTATTTTGTTAAAGCTATAGTGGCTATAAATTCCAGGAAAAATGTGTTTGTGTTTGTGACTGCGTGGTTTGCATGCTGCTCTTCCGAAAAGAGAGGTCCTGTGGTTTCACAGATGTTTTGCAATAAGATCTGTCTGATTCGAAGGTACTCCTGGTTGAATCTGCTGTGAACTTTACCTCAGCTTATCTCTAGACATTTATGTTTTTAACCTATGTTTGTTTTGATCCCTCAATTCACGCTTCATTTATTGATAACTAAAATGGTTTCGAAATGTAAATGAGCCATTGTCATCTGTAATATTTCTTAATAAACTGAGTATTTATAATATGAATTAATATAATGTTGTAATATTGGCCTGTTGTATCTCTGAAAGGCAATTCAGGTTCAGGGTGTTAAACAAATGTTTCAACTTATCGTACTTTATTTTTATTGTGCTGTATTTTTACTTTGATAATTTTTATCTGAAGATGCACAGTTTTTTACTTTTGTGCATCTGTCGAGCTGACATTTACTGTAACATTTACTCCTTGCTCAGATGTCAGGCATGGGAACAAGTCACTCCTTGGCGAGTCCAAGTCGAGTCTCGAGTCAAAACATTGCAATCTGAGTCAAGTCTCAAGTTATGTGCCCTCAATTCCAAGACGAGTCCAAGTCTTTCCATCATTTTCGGTGACAAGTCACAAGTCATCTAATTTGTGACTCATGTCCGAGTAAAGTTGTGAATCATGTAACTTGAATACCTACCTATGTCAGTTTTTTTTTTACCTGTAGTGATTAAAACTTGCTGCAGCCAAAACCCGCCACAGTCCATTGTAGGTTAAGTCCTTCATAAGCAAAGATAGTTTGAAAAGAGAGTCTCCATTCTGTAATAAATTTCCTCACACATTTTTATGTGCATGTATATGCGGGAGTGATGCATCTTTCCAACAAACTATCTCTGGAGACCTTGCATTCAGCTAAATAAAAATGCTGGCAGCAGAGAATTAATATACACTGAAATTCTAAAATTAATATTATGGTATCCAGAGGGGGGTTATAACCTCAAGTCATCTGGAGTTGTACGGTCCAAGTCAGATCTGAGTCTTGAGTCATTGCCCTCAAGTCCAAGTCAAGTCCAAGTCGTACCATCAGTCATGAAATTTGTGATTTGAGTCCGAGTCGAGTTGCAAGTCAGTGACTCGAGTCCTCACCTCTGTCAGATGTACCGTTGAAATCTAGCTACTCATTTACTCCAAAGTATTTGCTGTGTGATTTAATTCTATTTGCAGCAGGTAATCCCTTTCAAGCTTTGTGGTTAATTTAGTTTCCTTATGTAACATATAAAATTGTATTCTGTGTGACTGAACCCTCTGTGAAAACCTCAGCTTTTGCTGCTGCCTTCTCAGAGTTTTCATGGCGCTGTTCACTGACTTGCTTCTTGTCTCACCTGGCTGCTTGTGGTTTTCTAATGTAGACTGCAATGCCTCTTTCCGGCCACAGGATGGAGTTTGCTAGCAACAAGTTGCGGAGGTCTGGGAACCAGCGTGGTGTTTACATCCTGCGCTGCAGCCCCAAAGACTATGACAAGTACTTCCTGTCTTTTGCAGTAGGGGTGAGTTTAGCACGCCAGTGCGGTACATTTTGTTATGTAAAGCAGTGTTTCACAATCCGGTCCCCGATCTGCAGACTGTTCACGATGTTGCTCCCTACCAGCTCCCTACTGAGCAAAAATGTGGACTATCTGGCAGAGAGCTGGGAGGGAGCAAAAACATGAACCGGCTTTGGGTCCCCAAGGACCGGATTGGGAAACACTGATCTAAAGTACTGCAGGTACATTCTGGACACCCAGAGGAACAGTCTGAAGAGCATCTATGAAACACACTACATTATACACTACATTACATGTGCAAAAATGAAGTGATATGCTGCAGATTTCTGTTCAAGTACAACTGAACACAAATATTGGCAGTGGATTTGGTGACGGGTTAAAAAAGCCCCAGTTGTGAGAAAGTGTGTTCATTCGTACGTAATCGTGCACTCTCTGCAGCTGACAGCATTAGTCTCTCTCAGATCTTCCTTGCAGTTCCTTGCAGAAACTTTACAATTCTTTCTTGGCTGAGAACATTGCCTGGCTCTCTGTGGGTGTGTCATGCCCTCCCTCCCTCCGTGTTTCTGGTACTCAGTCGGATGGAGCCATGGAGTACAAGCACTGCCAGATCACCAGGGCATCGGTAGGGGAGTACAGCCTGAGTGGGGCCAAGAAGACCTTCAGAAGCTTGCTGGAGCTGCTGCACTGCTACCAGAAGGAGACCGTGCGCTCAGACGGACATATCTTCCAGTTCACCAAGTGCTGTCCGCCCAAGGCCAAAGGTTTGGCACATCTTTTCCAAACTTTGCAGACTCATTGTATAGGTAAAGGACTGGACCTGCTCAAATTTTGAGACCTGTTATCCCAAAAAAACAATGCTGAGAGGCTGCATGAGACATTTGACCTTGTGAAAAATCTAGAAGTATTTGAGGGGTCTTATTACATGGATGAAGATCTGCACCTGATTTCATTTTGAGGCATATAACCCCAAAATTAAGGCAGCAGTGCTAAGTGGCAACAATGAAGGAAAGGACAATTGTAGAAGATACATTCTAGCAATATTTCACAGATCTTTTTCAAACTTTGCAGACACATTATATGGGGAAGATCTGGAACTAATTTTGAAACGATTTGCACCAAAAGTAAAGGAGCACTGCATAGTGATAGTGAAGAGAAGGGCAACCTCAAACACTTGGTATTTTCAGCACAAGTTCTTAGAATTATTAGCTGGATCTTATACAAACTTAGCAGACGCTTTTCACGGGGGGAAATCTAGACCTCAGCAAAACTGAAGCAATGTGGCTTAATTGCAGCAAAGTGAAGGGTGACTGCAGAAGTCGCTTGACCTTGTGTAAAGGATAACTGTATTTGGTATTATCACTCTATTGACCCTTTGATATATTGTATTACCGCACAAAGGTGTTATACGGATGAAAATCTATATCTGATTTCATTTCGAGTCCATAGCTGTCAAGTCTCCCGTTTTGGCCGGGAAACTACCGTATTTTACCCCTCTTTCCCGCCGTCCTCCCGTATTAGTATTTTCCCGTAAATCTCCCGTATTATAATATCATTAAAAAAAAAATTCCTCTGCCTCTCCAAACAACTGTCAGTAGCCTCGCGAGAACTGCCACCTTCATTAGTCTGCAGGTCATTTACAACATTAACCAGGTCATAAATGCGGAGGTTAAAATGGCAA